TTTTCTGCCTGAGGCACTAAAACATGTCTTGTAAGGATATACAGTAGACAGACTGTATTGACATATAAATATGGACCTTTTAACATTTAATTATACACTAATTTGTATTTTGTATTATTCAGTAAACTTATTTATTGCTCTTCGTGATATCACAGTCATTACAGTGTGTGGAGATAAGGATGTTAAGTCAGTATGTTAGGAGTAATTAATATATATTTATGACAATACTGGAGAGTAAAATTTATAAAATCACGAAGTAACTATATTGTATTCAAGTTTGTTTCAAAGGCTTTTACTGTATCTCTGAGCTCCTTAATGACAAGCTTGTTAACAATGGCCAATAGTGTTACAAACTTAAAGCATCATACTAGCTTAACATTTTTATATGGACCAATTTGCTGTATTAAATCAGCGAATACAGACATAGCTGATGAAATGAGAGCAGATTTATTTTTTTGAGGATTTTGTTCATTAAAAGCCATCAAGGTAATGGGAAAGAGTGTGCAGTGTGCAGAACAGGGTTACAGGTTATAAAAGACTGTCAAGGGTGTTTTTCTATTCCCTACAGAATTACTCTTAAATGCAATCTTATACGTGATACTTTTGGTCCCTTGTCTTTTTTAATAGTTTATGATTACATAAATGCAGTCAAAAACATACACTAATATTATCTTTTTGGTGCTACCTTGTGGACAATCATGAGGCATAAGATGATAACTGACATTGAGAAGTCTGACACCCTGACATTCTGATACCCAGTGAATGTGCCACATGTGGGTTCATCCAACATTGTAGCTTTATTGTATTTACTCGTATTAACTTATGTATAGCTAGAGATTCAGACACATTTCACCAATTACAACCCTGATTGCCTCCATGTATAAACTCTGCTTTGCAATCAAATGTTCTGATGTTTTACTTGAAACGGTAATTGACTTACTGATAAAATGTTAATGTTCCTGAGCTCTTCTGCTCTACTACATGCTAAGTTTCAATCACATCAGCAAGCCATTTAATGCACAGTTGCTATAGTGATGTACCTACCAGACAGGAAGAACTACCAGTGCAGGAGCACAGACACTGAGGTGAAAGAGTGACCCCTTTCCTTAAAACTAACTGAAAATACTGATTTAAAATAAACATTTTTCTCATTTTTTCAAACCGACTGAAACATAGTCTTACATAATTTCAGAAATATGTTATCCCTCTTGCCTTAAATGAATATGGACCCTACTCCAGTATACTTCAGATAGTTTCAGACCATTTTTATATTAACTGTGCAATGTACGAACCTTAAAGAATTGCATCCTACATTCTGTTTTACCTACAATGTAATATATAAATATACACATACCAATGTGTTATAATCATATCTATGTAAGCAAATGTCTTTTATGTAACTGGGTGTTTGATAGAGCACAATTAGTAAGGGAAAACTGCATTTAACACCATTAAAATATCAACAGACATTTCTTTTCCTTCAAATAAACGTTACAGATTTTGAAGTTTACAAAAGAAAATCTTTACCAAAGTGCAATAACTTCTCCTTTAGAGAACATAAATGCATATTTTTTAATTAATTCTCCATTAATTTGTTCTCTTTTGCTTTACCCAATACTATAATAACATCAAAGAAGTATGTCGTTTTTTAACTAGAGAATCACATTTGTGTAAATGACACACGTTTTTCCACAATACTCTATAGATAAGACTTTATTGATCCCGAAGGGAAATTGATATAGTCTGCTTAATGATCTATTTATTTTTACTGGATGTTGCTGTTTTTTCTTACTTAGATGCAGTGGAATGGCCATGAATGTTAGATACAGCTACTGAACCGAGAACTAACAGTGGGACTGTATTGGATTCTGATGTTTACTCTGCTGGGCATGGAAGCATACTGTATGAAGTCTTTCGTTAAGAGAGATCAATGTCTTCACATACAGTAACTTCCAGAGCACATTTAAACATCTGAGATACTCGCTTGGCACATTTGTTGGAAAAACTAAAAAAAGAAATTGACAAAAAAGCAAAATTCTTTCAATATGATTGCTCTTGCTTAAGCGAAAAATCACATTTATTTTGTAGTCAACACATATCCTAAGTATCAGAAAATATCAAATTAAATTGAAAATAAAAGCTGGATTTTTTTGGTAGCTTTCGTTCACTACTTACTGTGAAATTATGTTAAATGGAAAGCTGTTATATTTGATAATTCAATATACCACGAAAGAAAGTGTAACAGAGAAGTAAAAGAAATAAGATGACGATTTAACAGAAAATAACATCTTAAGGTCCTCCTGCCTCCTAACAATTACCAGTCATCGGCAACAGCTGCAATCTATGAATTTATACAGACATTGATAAGTTAAGGCGCTTCAATAATAGGGCATCTGTTCACCTAATAGGATCATCTATAATTCATCCAAATCCAGACAGAGCTCCGGAAAAGACTAGAGATTTGTTTCTGAAAATTAGGCACATCCAAGTATTAGCTGACTATCTTTTTGTATTTTTGTGGGTATCTTCTTGTCTTATTGTTTTCTTAAAAGAACTCTTTTATCTCTGTGGTAAAAGAGATAAAACATCACATTATCAACAACGAACAATGAACGCATAGCAAAAACTTCATGGTTTTTCTATAGTTTTTCTCCTGCCAATATCAATATCTTTGAGCTGTTGTCTCGCAACTCTGTCTCACTCTCATTATACTATGGTATGACTGCACTACATTACACAATTTAAGGTACAGTAGCTTATCCTGAACCGGACATCAACTGAAAAAGACAAAACAAAAAAAGAAGTGACACAATTGAGAAAGGAATTTAATTATCCCCATGTTCTGCCTGCGCATGAACTGGAGTCAAAAGGAATGTCAAATGCATTTAATCTCCCAGTCAACAGAAGCTTGGAATTGACTCATATTGAATAAAACCTTAGCCAATCTGCCAGAAGCTGTGAAATGGAGGAAACAGTGATTTCACAAACCTGGGATGTGTCCCAACTCCCACTTACCCTTCTATACTGCCTACCCTGGGTATTCATTATCTTATAGTATGCTCCTCCTTTCAGATAGCACAAAGGACCCTTTGAGAACCTCTTATGCACTATGCAATACTTCCTACTGCATAGGGTTTTAGAGATACATGTTTCTTTTAAAATCTGCGGAAGCAGGCATCTGATGGTGTATGTGAAATGGTGCAGGGAGGGATCAACCTAATTATACAAGGATAACTGCAGTGGGTGTATGTCAGTGCCAAAGTGCTTCCTGACGTGAGTGCAATTCCTTAGGTACTATATGCCTTTATTCATCAAGACTTAATTTCTTTGTTACCAGTGAGCCCTAATTAGAGAGAAAAGGGCAGAGACATCTTATAAAATGTAAATGTGTTAGGAAACTTGAGTACTTATCACTTGTTGAAATGTGGTCACTAGAGATATATCTATTTCAGACAAGGTACCCGTTGTTTTCAGTTACTCCCTAAGCTTCTGCTTCTGTAACCTTATTTCTCTAAATGGTGGGTGTCATTTTGAAATGCTCTTGGCCAGAGCTGTACTTTGGCTGTGCTGCTGACAGTAATATTATGACGGGAATGCCAGATTCTTTATAATCAATGAAAAAGCATTGCGATGTCTCAGGTGTTGTTTTGAATACAGAGCAACTGCTTCAGTGGAAAAGCACATCTGTAATGAAGATGGCCCTTGGAAATTCTCATTTTATATTCTGGGCAAGAAGGGATTTGCTGTAGCTGAGTCACCACCAGACATGCTGCTGTTGTCTATTTATGCACCAAAAATGAGACTAGAAGCAGGGCTATGGCCATATCATCACTGCAAGTTAATTAGATAGAACCAGCCCCATGTCCAGACCTTAGAAAGGGCCCAACTAATAGTCAGGCTAATCACACCATGATGGTAAAAATGATTAGATTGTTTAATTCCATACTTCACAAATTCATGACATCACATGAGAATAAAATATTGTAGTAGACTGAATTAACTTATACTGTACGGGAGGACCTCTCCTTTCTACCCCTCGTTATGGGATAAAGTAATTAATAGGAATAATAAATGCTCTGATGATGCCTGACCTGTTTTATACTGCATATATTGCTATTTTGAATAGCAGCTGGGATTTTGTATTAGAGAAATATGTTAGACAAAAGCATGTTTAATAAAGTACATTAAATAAAATTAAAAAATAATATAAATAAATAAAATAAAGAAAGTATGTTTACTTAACTGCTGATAAATCTAGCTTGTCAGGTTTTGTCTCTTCTTGTACACGATCTTTAGGAGGTTTTCCTCAGAACCTAGGTTAGAGTTATGGCAAGTGAAAAACCAAATCAAACGTTTTGACATGTTTTTGAAAGGGTATCATTTTTACAGAAACAGCAATATTATTCCTTCTAACTTTTCATTGATTGGGAAACTGTAAGCACAAATTAATTATCCAGTGTGCTTCACAAATAAAAATGTATGATTGGATGTCAGCTGATACCCTGGTCCCTGTAATCACAATGGTAATTTAAGGTGATCTTTGGCACGGCCAGTTTTAGCCAGAGTCACAGCGCGAAATTCCTTCTCAGTTACATTCAAAGAGACATTAAGGGACATTCTGCTTCTTCTTAATAGTGGGAAAGAGAACTACAATTAAATCTGCTTTAGATTAAAGAATAACACCCAGAAAAGGAGTATGGTTGAATCAGCTTGAACCAGGCCAGCTGTCTTTGTGGGGAATGAGGAAATCTTATCGTTTGGAATTTTCATATCAGAGTAGTCAGAGGGTCCCATGGAGTTAATGTCATGTGTTTACCCAGTGGAATAACTCTGCCTGCAATGAAAGGATGTCTTTCTCTAATTCTGCCATCCTTCATCATCATTATGCCAGCTCTGGAAGCTTCTTAAAAGCCATTTGTTTAGGCAGAGATAAAGCTCTCTGCAAATTGTTCCATCCGTCTCTGTGATTGCTAATACATAAAATGCTGTCTCCTCTGCAGAGAAGTCTTTCAGTTAAATGGAAATGCCGTTACAACCCATAATATAAGCAGCTCAAAGATGGCTGGACTTTACAGGTATGAGTGCAATGTGCATACTTTGATTTTTATTCTTGGGTGAAAAATTAGTCTAGCATTCCTTATCTTTATATGGTGTTTATAAACTTGTTTATTATCTAATCTAAAACTTAACAAAAATGTTATAATAGCTTTTTGACCATAAAGTGTAAGTATAGCATACTGTATATGCAAGAACTCAGTATTATAAGATTTCAGATCAATGATACAATGGAATTTGACACAAGAAATCTGTATCTTTTGCTGAGGATCACAGGTCTTAAGATCTTTACAGAACAGATAAAGCAAAGATAAATATTGGTTTTTATTTTACCAGTCCCTTAACTTTCTAAGAATTAGTTTATCTTTAAAATCAGCATCAGTGCATAGTTTGGGATTTCTTGCAGAAAATCACAAAAATTTGGGGTCACTTTGAAACAGAGTCATGTTGCACATTTTTTAAATAAAATACAAAATGTAGTATTTGTTGTGTTATTCTGCAAGGTTTACTATATGTGATGAATCTGGAAGATTTTCCTTGTAGTTTTCTCTCCAGAGATGGTACTTTCAATGAACGTACTGTAAGCTCAACTAATTTATAAAATGTGACAACATTTCTCCTGTCCTAATTCCTATTACTCTGTAAGCTCAGGATGGCTCATGATGGCCACAGGCAAGGAGATTGTTTGACACTGCAGACAACACACATTTAGTCCTAACCCAGATACTTTGTTCCATTTATTTCACTTTCAATTATTTTGCCATAGTACATAAAGGTATGATGTTTGGACTGAGGACTTTCTAGGGTTTATTTAATGAAACGGAACAATTAGAGAGGCAAGCCTGTTAATGAGAGTATTATCTTTGTTTAAAACCATGTGAAAATACAACACAATAGAAGATGGTGCTTTCTAAAATGAGCTTTAGATCTAAGAGGATTGCAGTGAATTAATAAGACAGGAACATGTGCTGTATAGGTGGGTTCTCAGGGCAGAGGAAATGTTCTCTGTGTTTGGTAGAAAGTGCTGTATATAATTATTACCAGAGAGAGTATCAGAGTGCTCTGAATGTAATATATGGATATGTAATCAGCTGCTTCTTTCTCATGAGATCAAGCTGAATTTCCTTGCAAGAGCAAATTGTATCCCTGGAACACATAGTACTGGCATGGATATTCAACGTTTTCTATAATTATTTTTTATGGTTAGAGCCACAAAAAATAAGCTTTTTTCTGTTTCCAAGAGATAACAAAATCTTACATACATTCATGTGGTACAACATTAGGTTTCACTTTAAGTACACAAATACTTCAGATCTTGTAAAAGGAAGTGGGGTGTCTGTAACAATAGTCTTTTAAAAGTAAGGGCTACATAAAGAAAGGTCACTGACTTAATGATTCATTATTTTAGGTTTCCAATTATAAACAGTGACAGGATGTATATCTTACCGAAGATAAATTTGAAACACAGATTACAGTGTAATTTTCCCACTCTCTGCATTCATTTTTATTATTATCTCAATTTCATAACAATGATGGACTGGAGTAAACAGTATTCAATTAAAAAAAAAATGTACATCTTTAAAGTTTAAAGTCTAAATCAATGGTGTAAATCTGACTGAGTGCTATCTTGGACAATAAACAAGTTTTGCACAGAATCCCAGGTCCAGGAATCAGAACATCTTTCTGTACTGGAATTTGTTTACCTCATGAGAGAAGGAAGCAGTGGTGATAGGGAAGTAACGTAGATTAATATTTAATAACCAGTATTTCTCTTTTCAGTCATTACACCATGTGACAGATGGCAATTATACTAGTTATAGGGTTATAGGGAGATGCTAATGCATCAGACATACATAATGAAGAGGTATGTCGTGATGAATCACGAGCCAGACTATTATGACTGAATGAACCTATAGGTTTCTATAGTGGTGCTTATAATACGAACGATGAATCATTTCCAGACACTTGAGAAAACACTGAATCAGGGATGTGAAACAACTAACCTAGCACATTCATCATCATTATATTTTAGAGTTTAAGGCTCAGGAATTACAGTACTTTAGCAGCCTAGTGTATTCCTGTCTTTTTAGAACAATGTTCCCATTGAACTATTTTTAAACTTATATATATATATTTATCAAATAAAAAAAATATGTTTGGGGAAAATGAAATGAAGTTTTATTAAACATGCAAAAATTAATTATGAACATTTATCAGCTGCAGTGCTGATCTCAGCGTTTTGTTACTGTGAAAGTGTAGGGTAGCGTACGTGAAGCGTAGTTCATGACCCTATGCAGACGGTATAATCCGTAAGGAAGTGGAGAAGGACATCAGGGGAAGGTACAGCAGGTTAGGACGGGTTGACAGACAGGTTGCGGTGACGGCGGTGATCTGGTGCTCGGGGGGCGTGGCGAAGGCAACTAGTCTAGGGAAGTCAAAAACGGGAAATCTGGGGTGCAGTCCAAAGTCCCAAAACTGGGTGATCCATCCAAGACAAGACAGGGTTAAAATTCAGAGCGGGATCCAGGACTGGAACAAGAAGTTAAAAGAGAGTAGCAAGGCCAGGCGCTCCGAGCCCCAGACTCAGGCGGTCAGGACACCGTGAGGAAACCTATGCTGTTGGGTCTCTCCTGGACCCGCTGGAAGGTAGACTTCCGGGCGTCCATCTTCCATTGCTGAGCCAGGAATAGGGAGAGCACCAGGCTTAAATAATGACAAACAAAACAGGGGGCAGGTGCACATAATCACCTAAATACGAAAGGGTCTGAACGCTCTTAAGAGGAGGGATCCCAATTGTGACAGAAAGCCATTGTAGGATGACTTACTGGAAGCAGTATAATCTGTTCATCTGGGACTCACACTTTGCACCTGGTTGCAGATGCTGTCATGTGGGGTTTTGTCCTACTTGTCTTCTAGAGCCTGGACAAGTGCCTATTCACTGGTCTCTAAGCTCTAGATGACATGCTGCCCTAACTCTTCCCACCAATGTTCAATGAAGCTCAGGTCATTGGAGTAGATCATCCATGCAATAACTCACACTGTCATCTTGCAAGAAAGTTATTGCTACACAAACATCATGCAGATGCAGTATGCACTGTCCATATTGCCATTTTAAGAAGAGCCCACAGAAAGGGCAGCAAGAAGTTTACATGGAACCTTGATTCATCACAAGAGGTGCCACCAACATACAGGATGCACAAGGATGTTGTTCTCTTGATAATTTAACATAATGGTTCTTTTCTGATTTTCCACAGACTTGATATTCAAAACCTGGGCCCAGACTAATTAAATGATTTAATGCTCATGCTAGTCAAAGTTATGCATGTGTATCAATTGCAGTCATGAATGATCAGTCTACTCTATGCCAAGAACAGAATCTGTATGCTTTATTTTTCTGAAAATATGCATAAAAGGAATATGGTGTTTCTTTAAATGAAACAATCTCAATGAAGCACCTTACTAAATGGTACAGAAGCAGTGCCCAACCCAGTATCTGAACCAAAAACCTCCCAGTTACAAATCCAGAGCTTCAGATATTTGAGCACATTAAAAATTGATCTTGTTTTGACAAGTGTAATACTAGGATGCATTAATGAAACACAGATTAATTGAATGCATGTTTACCCAGGATGCACAATCAAATCTGACCTCTCTAGGTGTTAAATGCTATTTAGACTGGGGAAAAAGCATCACATTGTCAAATTAACTTAGGCTACACATTGAAGTATTATCTTTGTCCTCCAAGTTCAAAATGCATTTCATGTGATTTTATTTAAGCAATGACATTTAATTTGATTTTCTATAAAGCCACTTACAATACAACATAACTCCTAATTTTTTCAAAGGCTACTGCATTTTACACAAATTGAATTTCATTAGAAGTACAATGCTTTCATAATGGAATTAAACCTCTTCTTTTCCAGTTTTCCTTCTTTTTACAGTGTTGATGTACAGTATAATGCAGTGACCTTTGTGTATTAATAGCATGGACCACAGTGTTAGGAAGAAAAGCAAGTAAGCCTTAGCACACAGAATGACAAAACAGTGTTAGCTTAAAGCTCACATAATCACACTAGATACTCTTATTTCTTATGCCTCCCACAACAGGTATTTGTGCATATGCATGATAATAAATGAAGCTAAACTCCACAAGAGGTCACAGCTGTAGGAATGGTATATTTATTCTGTAGTTCTAAACTTCAATTAGGATGCTATTTATAAGGGCAAAGGTATCAGAAAGCCTTCTGCTCTGAAGTCCTTAAACACCATACCTTTGTGACAGAACAACTGAGTTATTCACGTTAAAGCAACAGAATTGCTGCACTGTTTTGAAAAACCACTAGCAGTGACATGAATAAATGTGAATTTAGGTGTTAATAAGTCAATAATTGTTGACTGACCTCTATGAGCAATGACAATACCCCCCTGGTGCAGATTAAATGCCCAGCTGTATGTCATGTACAGTACAGCAATCTATACTGAGTAATCATCTGCTTGTGACAGTTCCTGTACCTTTCCAATCTGTGGAATCACTCCCCTGTTTTGCCACAAAGTAATGTTTATCAAATGGATCCGGATTATTCTAAACATAATCAGCAAAAGATGTGGGGGAAACTGAGCAAACCACTTATTTTGTCTATAGAAATATGGAAATCATGGCTTTGCATGGCCAATAAATATTATTCAATTGCTTTATATGAACATTTGTAAAATGAAGGGTAGTTCTGAACACTAACTTATTTCATTTGAAGTGAATTCCTTAAAGAGCTCCTGTGGCTCCCTTAATACATTTTTGTCATCAGTGCATAACTGATTTTGTTCATTCTTCCTGGGCAAATTGGTATGGAATAATTAAACTGTAGCATGTTCATGGTTAAACTACAAAACAGATGCTGGTAGAGCAATTAAAGTCTGTTTGATATTTACTGCATACAGTATACCTCAGATGACTCGTTAATTATAAAACAGGTGTTTGAGGTCAGTTTTTCTCCTCTTCTGAAATATGTCTTCAATTATTCAG